AAAAACGATATGAAGGAAAATTTAAAGAACAAGGATATTATGATTATCTTCAAAAATTTATAACTACATTGGAAAAGATTAAAAGATTTGTAGATGAATTTTCAAATATGAAATCTATTAATAAAACATTTAGAGCAACAGAGATTAAAGAAAAGTTTGAATCTCTAGCTGAAGAGTTTGATAACTCTATGAAACATTTAAACTTTAGTATGACAATTGATTTTGAAGAACAGCGAAAGTTGGATACCGACGAATTAAAATCAAGTTTAAATGAAATAAAAAAGGTTACATTATCATGATGATTTCTGTTTACTTGTATATTATTGTGTATATATTTTATATGTGAACTCATTAATATTAAATAATTTTATCTACAGATTTTGAAAATTTCTGGGTTCAATTCTGAAGTTATTTCAGAGATCAATATCATGAAGTCTCGGGACACATTCGTTTTTAAGCCGTTTCAAATAGAACCAAAAGACTTAACTCCTTGTTCTTTGAGTCCAGATGAATTTTCTAGAATAGGAAATTCTTCTTATTTGTGTAAAAGAATGTATAAATTTGAAGAGGTTGCTTGCAAAGAATTTAATATTAAAGAGACAAATGATCAAAAAAAGAAACAAAAAATTCTTAAACAATTAGCAATCTTGGAAAGATTAAGTGAATGTAGATATATTCTAAAGTTTTATGGTTTGTCGCATCTTGAAGGAAAAGAAGTTCAAGTTTTACAATGGGCAGCATTAGGTTCTTTAAAGGATGTTTATACTGTAAAAGATATTGGGTGGGTAACAAAAGTATCTATAGCTCGTGATGTATGTCGTGGTCTTGCCTTTCTTGAAACTGTAGAGATCTTACATCATGACATTCGTGGTGAAAATATTATGGTACGAATTGTGTACATTTTAAAGCTTTCATAATGCGTATAAGCATATTTAATTTAATTAATTTAAATTTAATCAATTCATAAAAAAATTAATTTATAAAAATATCTAGATGATTGCGGGTTATAGTCCTAAGATTGCAAATTTTGATGTAGCGCGAAAACAAAATGAAACAACTAATGAAATTCCTGATCTTAATAAAGTTGTACGTTGGATGGCCCCTGAAAAAATAAACGGTGATCCTTATACTACACGATGTGAAATTTTCAGGTAATTTTTTATATTAAAAAAAATTGTAAATAAAATAAAATGTAATTCATTAGGCCAGTACAGTGCTTGTATAAATAAATTTATTTTTATATTTTATGTTAAAAAGCTTTGGAATGTTACTTTGGGAACTCACTTATGAAAAGGAACCATATCATGGCATTGATACCTTTGAAGATATTAAAAAACTTGTTACAAATGGTTACAGAGAAAAAATTTCTTTTGCCCCTACACAGGATCAAAAAATAAAGGAAATTCAACAAAAATTTGAAGATATTATGAAATCAAGTATGTTTATATTTTTAACTGTACATTTTTAAAGCACTTTTCTGTATACTCATTATTATTTCTTTATTTTCATAGCTTGGCATGATAATCCTAGACATCGAATTGGTGTTGGTGAATTATATGTGCATCTAGAAAACTTGGCTGAAAAATATGTTAAACCTGGTGACTTACCCAAAATATGTAATAATAACGAAATAGATTTCGATGGATCTAAATTTTATGAAATTGATGAAATTGACATGGATTTCATCAATCAGACAACGTCTGAACTTAAATTTAACCTTTGTGATGTTGAAATAAAAGTGCCCACTCCTCTTAACGAAGGACTAAAAATTCATCAATCAATAAATAAAGAGGGTCCTCAGGAAGAAATAATAAAAATGAGAAAAAAAGCTTGGGAATGTTTTGTGGAGAATGCAAAGCTTGGAAATTCTGATGCAAAATATTGGAAAGGATATTATTTATGGGAAGGTTATTATGTCGATAAAAACAAAGAAGAAGCAATAAAGCTTTTTAAAGAAGCTGCTGATAATAATGTTTCTAGTGCTCAGCTACGTTATGCTTTTGCACTTTTAGAATCAAATACCTCTGCAACAAGACAGACTCAAGAAGAGTTTATTAAATATCTTGCATTAGCTGCTA